AAGGATGGGTGAGCTGAACTCAGGCCTGGAGCCTCTGCCCATGTTCCGTGGACGCTGGCTGTGGGGCCCCCAAGGCCCATCCGTGACCCGGGCATTGACATGGGACCACTTGTTAACCCCGCGTCCTGTTTCTCTGCACTGTGACCCGTGATCTGATGGCGGGCTTGAAAGGGCAGCGCTGTCAGCAGACAAATGGAAAAAGCCACCCCCATCCGGCCGGGTTGGAGAACTCTTCTCAGATGTGGTGTCAGGACAGTGATACCAGCCTTGAGAGCCAGTAGGAGACTGGGTTCTTCTGAGCAGCGTGCAGGATTTGGGGTGCTTTTTTAGGATCAGTCTTAGGTGCCTTAGACCCAGGTGGAGACCATCTGTAGGGTGGACATATCTCCGTGCGTGCGATGCCGTCGGGTGCTGGGGTCTGTTGCTGAGAAATAAACAGGAGGTGTGGCCCGAGGCTGAGGAACTCATTCCCAGTCCTGCTGGGGAGGGGGTTGTGTGTGCCTGGGGCAGGTGGTTGCGGGGGGATAAACCAGAAGATCCTGCTTCTCAGAGGAGCTTGACCTTGAAGGGCGGGGAAGGCTTGGGCCAGCTGTGTGTGTTCACAGAGGGGACAGGGGACCCAGGGAGGCTGCCTGAGGGCTGGGCTAGAATTGGGTGGGGATCCTCACCCAGCCCCGTAAGGCAGGGCAAGGTTGCAGACCGGTGGCTTGTCCTGCTTGTGCAGTCATGATCCAGAAGAGTCCATGTGACAGAAACCTAGGTTTCCACACTCATGGGGCCACACGATTCCCCCTTTTAAGAGAAGTCTGTCTTCTAGAAATTGATTTCTTAAATATTCTCATAACTCACTTAATAAGCAAACAGTTTTCCCAGGCCTTCTTAGGATGATGCCCACCGTCTCCTCTTGTGTTCTTTAATTGCAGGTGGTTTTCCATCATCTTTGGGGATGAAGCTGCTTTCTGGCTTCTCCTGTGAAGTTGTTGTTGTTGTTGTTGTTGTTAATTTCAGAGAGAATGCAAGCAAGCACTAGCAGAGAAGGGGGCAGAGAGGGAGAGAGAAAGAATCTTAAGCAGATTCAACACTCAGCACAGAGCCCGATGCAGACCGCAATCCCACGACTTTGGGATCATGAGCTGAAATCGAGAGTCAGATGCTCAACCGACTGAGCCACCCAGGCGCCCCCTTCTCTTGTAACGTTTTGTATCTTTGGGGCATTTCATGTCCTCTGCTTCTGCCTAGCCAAATTCACTGTCTGTAGGTTTCCATGTATTTTTTTTTTTCTGTTTTCTAAAGCTCTTAATTTCCAAAGCACTTTCTAGACATTTTAAAGTGAAAGAAGTACAAGATGATTTATGAATGACATTTTTTAAAAGTCAAGCTATTCAGACATTACACCTGTTCTTTTGACTGTTAGCCTCCAACCTGTAACTTAGGTCCGGCCTGTTCCGTTGTGTCTGCGTCTGGCCTCTTCTCCTGATTCCCGGGCTTGGACGGGGCCTGCGTGCCCTCTGAGAACTGCTCTCTCTTTTTCCTGCCTCTGCCTCCTTTGCTCCACCCTAGGAATTCTATATCATACAGAACTGACTTCTGTGATGGTTCTTTAGCCCAATGTTTTCCAAATTATGGGTTGTGGCCCATTATTCGAGTGTGAAGCCAATTTTGTAGCGCAGCCATGTAAGAAAAGCAGGGTAGAAGAGATCTGTTCACGCATAGGAAAGGGTGAAAGCTTCATTTCAATTGTGTGCTTATGTATGTTCATATCATGACCTCTGGGACATGATAGGAAATGTGTGTCAAAGTCAAGTGTGTTTGAGAGTCCCTGCTGTATTCCAGCATATTGCTGAACTTTTATGAAAGAAAAACCGGTTATAACCTGTCTCCAGGAAGAAGATGTTTCCAAGTCAGAAGGAGTGAGTGTGGGCGGCCTCTGAGTGGGTTCCTGCAGTCTCGGGGGATGGCTGCTCCTGCATTACTCCTCCTCATTATTCAGTTCTCAGTTCACACATTCCTTCCCCGGGGGAAGCCTTCTCTGCTCCCCGTCTACATCCGTTTCCTCTGGTAGGTGCCTCCATCAAACTATGTTTCTTACCATCAGACCACCTAGCTCAGTTTTTAACAACACCGTGATTAGTACATTTTATTATTATCTGTCTCCCTCCATCCCCTAGAACATGACCTCCACTGGGCCAGCATCAGGTCTGTTTTTGCTCACTGTGCCTGCAAGAGCCAACACAATGCCTAGCGTATCGTCCACACTTCATACACACCAGTGGCTTGGGGCCAAGTCCCCACAGTCAACTAAAATCAGGGACCCCATAAAACCCTCTGCTCTACTCTTGTCTTTTCCAGAAAGGGGGTGGGGTCTGCCAGCACAAGGAGATCTACAGGTGGGATTGAAGCCCCCGGAGCTCAGCAGAGGCCTTGCCCCACACAGGGCAAGAGTGAGCTGACCCTGGGGCACCTGGGTGGCTCAGTCGGTTAAGCATCCGACTTCGGCTCAGGTCATGATCTCACAGTTCATGGGTTCGAGCCCCGCATCGGGCTCTGTGCTGACAGCTAGATCAGAGCCTGGAGCCTGCTTCGGATTCTGTGTCTTCTTCTCTCTCTGACCCTTCCCTGCTCATGCTGTCTCTCTCTCTCTCTCTCAGAAATAAATTTTAAAAAATTTAAAAAAAAAAGTGAGCTGACCCCCCTTCCTACTCTCCCCAGTGCTCCAGGTGAGGATCATAGAGAGCATAAGCAGAGTGGCACATCAGACAAACCATCTTTTGGGGGACGCTCTCTTCTCTGGCTGTGGCTGGGGCTCCCCAGTTCCTGGTTCCTCGTTGTGGTAAAGAGTATTGAGGCCATTGAACATTAGTTGGAACCAGCTCATTTGGATTCCGTAGTTAAGTGCTGCAGATAATGATCTTTGCTGAGGCTCTGATTTGTGTTAGTGTGAGCACAGATGGGTGGTTTCTTCTTCCCTATCCTCAAGAGTCTGTGAGGGTGAAGGCAGAAAGCTGGGGAAAGAGGAGGATCAATAAGTATTTCTAGGGTTGCCTTCGCATGAAAGACACGTTTCCAAAAAAACGTCTTCTTTTCAGTGGGAGACGATGCTGACACTCTGACTGGCTCTCACAGCCAGATACTTATCTGGGAAACAGCATCATCCTAGCCAGGGAGCTCGTGAGTTTTGAAACTGCTTTTCCATTTGAGAGACTGGACCTCTGTGACCCCAAGCCTCATTTCCACGGCAACCAGCTGTGATGAGATGGCGGTTTTGACCTTGCAGGCCAATTTGCAAGAAGAATCAGATGAGCTTTTAGATAGAAAATTTACTCTATGGCCTCTTAACAAATCTCATATAACCGAATCTCAGTTTCCTCATCTCTGAACTAGAGAAGGAAATAGGACGGTCCGTTGATTCTATGCAGAGAGATCCATGTTGGAAAAGCACATATGTAGGTATTGGTGATTTTAACTGAACGACCCAGCGTCTGACGTGAGGCGGAAGAGCTATTGCCCGCACACACTTGCCTGTTCTGCGTAGCTGTCTACAGGCCTGCTCTCACGTCTCTGACCAGCACCTCACTCTTTGTTAAACTGGCTTCCTGGCTTGTCCTGAATTGGGTAGTTCACTGCCACCCCAGGGCCTTTGCACTGCAGTTCCCGGAACATTTTCCTTTGCTGTTCCCAGAGGGCTGCGTGGCCCACTTTCTCCCTTTATCTGGGTGTCTACTCAGACATTAGAGCCCCTATCAGACACCTCACAGAAAACAACCCCAGAACTACTTGCCCCTTAAATCTTTTTCTTCAAAGCACTGTGACCATTTGGAATTTCATAAGCTTTGTAGGGACAGGTTTGTTATTACTTTTCTTCTTTCCTTTCCCTTTCTTTCTTTCTTTCTTTCTTTTTCTTTTTTTTTTTTTTTTGAGTTTGGTTTGAGTTTGCTACACCTACCAAACTGGCACTTAGTGGGCCATTCAGTCCTCATAAGAAGAAACCTTTCTTCATTGTTTTCAATTATCAATCCTTAGGAAACTCTATTTCAAAGAATAAAAAAACCTGCCTAAGGTCATAAAGGTAGCAAGCGGCAGACAGGGGTCTCAAGCCAGGGTTAACGTCAAGTCCTGAATTTTCTCTCGTCCTTGGGTCTGTCTTTCCTTTGAGCACTGATGCCTTTGCTGTTTCTCGGGCTCGGCCTTCATGATGCCCAGGCTAGTCCAGCCTCACCCCAGCCCTCAGCGCTCTTTCCTCTAGATCCCAGCTACAGCTGACACTGCCCCCACCCCAGATCCCGGTAAAAACTCCCTGCTCTGATGTCATGTTCTTGGAGAACCTCGTGCTTGGCCTTCTAGAGCGGCAGCAGCCAATCTGATCATGAGTTGAGGCTGATGCACATGTGGACAGGCCAGGTCACCTTGGCTCCATCCCTCTTGAAGCATGTGCTAGGAGGTGTCTGTGGTAGAAATGGTTCCGCTCACCTCCTTGTAGGGTCAGACCGGCATCACCTTCGAGAAGAATCCCTGAGAGAGTCTCACCGAGAGACATTTTGATAGCCTATTCTTTGAGGGTGTTATTTTATGTTGAAACATTTATTTTTGTGTGACCCGATGTAACTGGACAGAGTAACCTTGCGTTTAATGTGGACGTTATCTTTTCTACCGTATCTGGGATGCTTTTCGGCATCACCATAACCCCTGGGAAGGTGGGATGAGCAACTAATAGTCTCCTTTCTCAGCAAGCGTGTGTGGGTGGAGCTGTGCTTACAGACACGTTGGCTGGCAGAGGATATTGTCCACTAGACGACACCGAGGTCCAAGACTTGTTGCAGACTAGAAGCATTTCCAGTCTATGGACGTGATAATGATGCTTGGGCTGCTTCGGCTAGTTTGGTGATGAAAATCGCTGTAAGAGGAAGCCATGGGCTTTTGGTAACACCGTGAATGTGTTGTGTGCTGGACTGTGCTCTCTTCCCCCCCCCCCATCCCTCACCTCTGTCTGCTCTTTCTTCCAGGAAAAGTGCGGTGGCGGGACTTTAACCAGGAAGCTTACGTTGGGGGGACGATGGTCCGCTCCGGACAGGACCCCTATGCCCGCAACAAATTCAACCAAGTGGAAAGCGATAAGCTGCGGATGGACAGAGCCATACCTGACACCAGACATGACCAGTAAGTACTAAGCCAGGTGTCGGTCTGGGGCCTCCACTTGCCGTCCCACAACCCAGTAAGAAGCTTTGACTGTGACGCATTTTTCTGTTACTCTGGGGCACTGGACGTGTGTTGTGTGTTTACGGGGCGGTAAAACTCGGAGAAGGTCTGAGGCACCTGGCAATCGAGCTCCACTCACTGAAAGTGACGGGCCCCCTTGGGATTGGATTCTAGTCTTTCGGATGCCCCGAGGCAGTATCTGGAGGCTGAGGGTGGCTGGCCAGAGGGTGGGGGTCAGCAAGAGAGATGTGTGTGACTGGTTACTTGTCCTTTCTCAAACCATCCCCAAACACACGTAATTTGCCATTGGTCACAGCGTCATTAGAAGGAAGGAAATCTGAATTCTTGCTTTATCAGGACAGCTTCACTCAGGAATGTCCTAGAGACTAGAAAGGGGAAAGAAACAAGCCTGCAGGGCAGATGTGAAACTGAGCTGAAGCACAGAGACTGGGGGGGTGGGGACGGACAACAAGGGACAGGGTGACATCTCGCCATGCCGTGTCCCCTGGTCTGCGTCCTCTTGATTCTTCAGGGATCTGGGACCTGAGGGTGGAGGGTACTCCTGGGTTTATCAGCTTGGCTGACGAGGTCTCGAGACACTCTGACGTGGGTTTGTCACCAGCTACTCCAGGCCTCACTGCCACCACACCTCTGAGCCTTGCTGGTAAGAAGCTCTGATTGGGAGGCTGTTCACAGGAGATCATTGGGGCTGGGTCTTGTTTCAGGTTGTTAAAAAATGAGGAGTTATATTTGGAGGACAGCCGTTTTCCTGGGTGTTTGGTAGCCATCCCTGCTCACCGGGTCACTTAGGGTGTCATTTGTTGTCATGGATTGCACGTCTGCTGCGACTCAGGCACTGTGTTGCACGTCTGCTGCAACTCAGGCACTGTGTTCGGGTCCTGGGATCCAGGCAGAAAAGTCTCATCCTCTTCTGGCGGGGGGGGGGGGGGGGGGGGGGGGGGGGGGGGGGGGAGGTAACAGGTACACCAGGAAGCGAGGGAGTATAGTACTCTGAGGCGTGGACAGTCTGTTCCAAATCAGTGCCTCCCCGGAGGTGGGAAGGTCAGGAAGCGCTCCAAGGAGGGTTAAGTCCTGAGCTGGAGGCATCCATAAAGGACAGGGGTGAGGCTGTGACAGGCAGCGCTGGGCTTCCAGAGAGCCCATCAGGGATCAGATCGCTCTGCATGTGTGTTCCAGGGATGGCTAGGAGGGCAAGCTGACGAGAGACCACTACCTTACACGTGAACACTTCTTCAAGTTCAAGTTCGGCTTTATTTTGTAAATTAGTATCATATACGGAAAGGGGTTTTTTTCTCTCCTACTTTCAAGGGGGGCTTGACTTAACCACGTAGGTACCATAGAGCTGCCAAGTGCTCACTCCCTTTGCGTAACAGTGTTTTTGTTTGTGTGTGTGTTTGGGTTTTTTTTGTTTGTTTGTTTGTTTGCATTCTAGAGAGCTCTGTGTACCCACAGCAGCTCCTAAATAGGTAAATTTAGAGGTCTTTTGGACCAAGGAATTGAGGGCACAGTGTGTGTTTGTGTGTGAGAAAGAGAGAGAGAGAGATTTAATATATGAAACATGACTGATACCTGATTATATGTGATACATAATATTAAGAATCTTACCATTTTTCTAAATCCAGTCCAGGAAATTGTCTTTGTTTAATATCTTCTATTATCCATTAATTTTTTTTTTTTTCAGAGGCAGCTTTATGCAGTCTTTATGCTGTGCTCCTGGTTAAATTCAGCAGGGTTCACTGTTGAACAGCCTCTCTAGAAGGGTTTGCTGGCCTGGGAGCCACGGACCCCAGGGAGCCCACACGGCATCTGGGACTCTGCAAGTCCTGAAGCTGTGTGTATGCACATGGCTGGGCATCTGGGGAGAGGTCACGGGTACTAGCGTCCCCCTCTCCCCCATCCCCAGGCCTGTGCCAAGCACTTTTCAGGGGCATTTACATGGTTCTTGAGACTCATGGCTCTGGACACAAGGATTGTCTTCATTGGACGGAGAGGGAAGCGAGGGTCCCCCTTTGTTAAAAACTTGCCCAGTGACTTAAGGCCAGAAAGGGGCCACGTGGCTGTTAAGCGGGGCTTGGCCTAAGCTCAAGAGCATGGGTGAAGTTCCAGCAGAATCTGGCTCAGAAACCTTACCTGGTGGTTTGAATCAACTGCTTCGACTTCTATTTCCGTGAGACGGTGTGTCACTGCACCGTGGGGTTCTGAGTGGTTTTTCTGCCGTGGCTTTTCCTCCAGCCTTTTCCTTTCAGAGCTGAGAGAAAGTAGTGTGTTTTGTGATGGTTCATCAGTGTGTAGGCTTGATAGTCCCCAAAATTATATATATACGCATATATCGCTTTTTTTTTTCAGTTTTTGAAATATGAGTTTGTCAAAACAGATGTTTGACTATTCCTCCCATGGTGGGATGTGTTAGAGGTGAGTTTAATTTTAGTGCCAGTGACGGTGGCACGCTCATTTGCATGTGTTAAAGGAACAGCTGGGATGCCTTCCATGTTGGTTTGACTTTGGCTAAATTAATGCCTCCCCAAAGTCAGTCACGTGCCTGGAACTGAGCCAGTGCCATCCTCAGAGTTTGAGTTCACACTGAATGTCAGGTTAAGGAGATCAAGTTACCTCTGTGAATCCCCCCCAACCACTGCCATGCCTCTCATCGAGAGCTATTAAAGCATTTGACCTTCTACATAAGTGTTAACTTTTTTTTTTTTTTTGGCCTCTGTGGTCTCTCCTTTGGTCTAGGATTATGGAAATGTTTGATTTCGGTCTTCACTTGGATAAATCTGAAAGCAGCACATGTGGTTCATTAAGAATAAGGTTTATGGAGTCACACAGATCTTGGTCACAATCCCAGACTCTCCAATTCTTAATCCTGTGGCCTGTAGCATCCGTAAGATGATGTCATACAGTCACCTCTGAGAAGAAACAGGATGTTCACAAGGGCTGGGTTCTCCCCCTCTTGAGATTTTGTTCACGAGCAGCATCAGCGAGGCAGCCCTTAACCTTGACCACCTCCCCGAGGCGTGCAGCCTCCTGGCTCCCACACTAGCGTGCTTAGACCCGCCCCCCCCCACTTGATTTTCTCCATAATTCTTATCACCACCTACACACCATGTGTTGTACTTATTTACATGTTCATCTGTCTTTGCTCATTAGAATAGTGAGAAACCGTAGCCAGGATTGTTCTGGACAACTCACAGCATTCTGTAAATTCAATAAATATTTGTTGAGTGAGTGTATTGCTTCACACAGAGCCTGACATATGGTGAGTGCCCACCAGCAGTCCTTAGTAATACCAAGAGTCATAAAAGAATAAAGGAGATTTTTGGCATTAGAGACCATATGAACCCCATGATGAACCCCAAATAACTATACTGTGTTTATATTCTTCCAGGAGTAGAAAGCACTGCAATTGCCATCTGTCCTTTATTTCCTGTCCTTTGGGATAGATGCAAGGAATCGGGTGTTCAGAGGCTTGCAAAAACAAAAACAAAGCAAAGCAGAAACCCCACACATTTGGGCCATGTTTTATTTACCTATTTTAAGTATATAAAAAATTTCATGCCAAAAAAAAAAAATACATACATAGAAGCAGGTAGCCGTGAAAAGCTTGTCAGGAGTGAAATCGTAGATCTGATCTACAGGAAATACCGGACAGGCTTAGTAGTTAAAAACTAGGAGCTCATCCTAGTCTTGAGAGTACAGTTTCCCACTCAAAAAAAAAAAAAAAAAATCTCCTCCTTCATTTAATGTCATTTGAGATCTCAAATTTTCAAGACCAAAAGCAGATTAAAAACCCGTGGGAATTTGGAAAGTGCTTTTTCAGACCATTTGTGTCCTCCCTTTCCCACCTTTGGGCAGCTATTGTTGTTGGCCTGGTGAAAGATCGTGCAGAGAGCAGCATTGGGCAGACCTGGGTGTGTACGGAAGGTGGGGCCAGTACGATGCGCCCGTGGATCCGAGGGGGGGTATGCCGTGGAGCAGAGCGCCGAGATGTATGGCTAGAACAAGGGAAGCGGTGGGTTGCCTCGACCAAGTGAGAGGAGGCGTGAGTGGGGCAGGTGTGGGGACACATCAGCGGTTAACAGTTGGACATGTGAAGTCCCAGATACGTTGTCTGCGATTGGACAGGTGTCTGGTGCTCAGGAGAAAGGTCTTAGAGGAAACGTAAATTTGGGAATGGTCAGCACATGGATGGTATTTAAAGCTATGAGATGGACATCATCCCCAGGGCAACAAACATGGAAAGAAAGGGAGGCCCAGAGACCGAGCTCTGGCTGAGTCTGCCATTGAAATTCAGCTGTAAATTAAAGCCAAGGCCATCGCTTGTAGTACAGTCACACATGGGGGATCGCTGACTGTATCCCGTGGGTGCTGAGGCCCGAGAGGAGAGTAGTTATCTTATTAGAGTAGGGGTGAGTTGGGTATGTTAAAGCACCCTTGCGTTGTTTTTTGTTAGTGCGTGCACACACATGCATGTGTGTGTGTCTTGTTTGCCTAGAAATGCATCTGATGGGAAAGTAAAGTACAGAAATCAAGTGCAAAAGCCTTATTATCTTGTTTTCTTCTTTTCCCGGTCAGCCACACACCATTCCTTTCTGTTTGGTCATCCAGGTCCCTTAAAAATGAGGACCGCTTGGTAAAAGAACTGATTTTGTTCCGGTTTCGAAAGTTGAGTTATTAGAAAGTTGCTCTCTGTGCTGCCCCCTTCCTTTAATCACTAAATTTAAAATGAAGGGTCTTGAAACATTTTTGTGTCTAAAGCTGAAATACCGCCGCTGAGTACGGGGTGGTCTTGACCACCTCCCACTAAGGATCCTTCTCTAAGAGAGAAGTTTGTCCAAGGTGCAGGCTTTAAATCAAGAGAACACCGTTTTTACTGCATCTATACATTGGGGTTGTGAGGTTTGGTTTGGTTTTGTTCAGGATAATCACCGAAGGCTTGTGTT